GAGAGGTCTAAGAGCCAACTGTTTACAATCGCTACTCCTGTCCCTTAAGAGCAGGGTCTGGACATGGCTCTTTCTCCAAACTGCCCTTTAATTCTAGTGATCATACTTTGATTATACATGCTTTAATTTCTTGGAAAGTTTGTTTATTCTTCCCTAGAGGCTGCCAAACTCCAAGCGATCAAGCAGACAGAACCTACAACAAATGTGTCAGACTCCTTTTACTGAGATCCACTAGATGGAACTTGGTAAGGGAGTTCATAACTGCTAAACTACAACATGACTTCTAATCCAGGCCCATTAGATTGGCTGTCTGGAGAAGCCCCTGACTGTGATCACCCTCAGCTCGAAGCAGCTAGATGGAAACTATGCCCAATCTCCCCTAACCACAGTCAGGGATACCTCTTCAGAGGGGGAATATTAGAGACAGCTAAAATAGGTAGAAATGTTATAGAGGGTTAGCCCCTCAAGGGAGTCAATGCAGAAAATGAGAACACATCAGAACTGCGGCTGGAGGCCCACATAAATAAGATTGAAGTCACAATGGCCAGAAATACATACTTCCCTAAGGGACAAATGCAAGCTTAAAATTATTGATATCACCCTTTTGAGATTTCTTGTATAAATAAACCATTATCTCATTAGGGGTAGGCCATCCTCTCCCACCCACTAAGACTAAGACTACTAAGACTTAAAACAAAACTAAGACTATAGATTATCCACCAAGATTAATGATATCATCCATATGCCCTTGCTACTACTGGATCAGTATTAGCCAAGTGGCCATACTTGTAATCTTATTGGTTGATTATACTTTTGACCCACATCGTACCCACTTTGTGACTTTGCTCTACAAAACTTTCTCAGAGAAGGAAGCTCATTGGCAACCCATTCAGGACCCCTCCTGTCTCTGAGGAACTATTCCTTTTCACTATTCCTATTCCCCAATAAATTTTCCTGTCCTTAAAAAAAACTGAATAAAAATAAATACATAAAAATTTTAAACTAGTAAGAAATATATGTTCAACCCAAGGACAATGACGAATGCCTGTAATCCCAGAACTTGGGAGGGTGAGGCAAGAGGGTCACAAGTTTGAGTCCTGCGTATTCTGAGACTCTATTTCAAGGGCTGAGGATATAGCTCAGTATGTAGACTTGGGTTCAATCCCCAGTACTGGGAAAAATATATATATTCAGTGGTAAAGGATATACTGTATATGACAATAACAGTGATGAGACAAAAAGCTTTTATCCCCCCCAGTCTTGGGGATTGAGCCCATAGCCTTGACACTGAGCTACATCCCCACCTTTTTCTATTTTTGGAGGGGTGGGGAGCGGGCAACTCTTGCTAAGTGACTTCACTAAGGTCCCCAGGCTGGGCTCAAACATGCACTCTTTTTCTGCCTCAGCCTCCCAGAGTGCTGGAATTACAGGCAAGCATCACTAAGGCCAGCTAACTTTTTCTTATTTTTAATCTGAAAAGTAACAAAAAGTAATCTAGGTGGAGGATATACAAGTGTTTTTATCCCATTCTACCTTTCTGGAGATTTGATATTTTGGAAAATTAAGGGTTGGCAAACCAGGCATAGTAGCATACTCCTATAATCTCAGGTACTTGGATACTGAGGCAGGAGTATTGTAAATTCAATGCAAGACTTGGCAACTTAGAGAGAACCTGTCTCAAAATAAAACTTAAAAAGAGCTGGGGATGTAACCCTTTGTAACCCTTGGGTTCAATCTCTAGTCACACCAAAAGAAGAGGGGGGAGGAGACAGCAGGGGAAGAAAAGGAGGAAAAATAAACTACTAGACCAGGCGTGTGGCTCAGTGGTAGAGTGTTTGACTAACATGTGCAAGGTCCAAGGCTTGATCTTCGGCATCAAAAGCAATTAAAATTTTATATTATAAGGTCTATTTTCTGCACCAACAAATCTCCATGTGTAAGAAGTTACCTAAAAGCCAGATGCCTGCAATCCCAGCACTCTGGGAAGGTGAGGCAGGTGGACAGCAAGTTCAAGGCTATCCTGGACAACTTGGCAAGATCATATCTCAAAAAAAAGGTATTGGCAATGTAGCTTAATGCAAAGCCCTGGGTTCACTCCCCAGTACAAAAGAAAAAGGTTACCTAAAGTACTGATATAAGAAAATTTTAAACATTTGAATTTTTATTGTTTTTACTGGAATTTTTATTTTATTTGTTCATTTACTTATTTGGGAGTGCTTGGAATTGAATCCAAGGCCTCCTAGATGCTTAGCACATGCTCTACCACTGAGCTACACTCCCAATACCATAGGCATTTTTCAGAAAATACTGAAATATATATCATGTTCCAATAACTGTATCAGAGCCTTGTCAAATTTCTCATTTTGCAAGGTATAAAAATTAACAAGAATATTTTTCAAACAGAATCATGCCATCCTTGCAGAAAAACTCATGCTGAGTGGTGGTACTATGGTTAGAATCAAGGCCCATTCAGAGAACAGAGTGAGGAAGACACATCTGGTTCCTGCTGTCAGGCCACTGCATTGTACAGTAGACCTTTGACTTACAAACTCAATTCATTCACGAGGGCTGGTTGTAACTCAAGTTGGTCAATTGAAGGCTCAGGCTCCTCTACACAGCCTTCAACATCTCTCTCTTGTATAATTTTAGGCCACACTTTCTTCCAGGCAGATCTCAGTGTCCTTAGAGAGACACTGGCCCAGGATTTCTTGACCCCACACAGGAAAGGATGTTGTAATGTTCCTTCCAAAACTCTTTAAGGGTTAAATTTGTATCTGAGACCATCTGGAGGCATCAGCAGCCAGCATTCAGGTCATAACTCAAGATTCTGGTTGTAAGTTAAAACTAAAATTCCAGTCGTAACCCAAATTGTTCATATGTCAGGGCAGTCCTAACTTGAAAGTCCACTGTATTGAGCTTCAAAAAGCAGCACAAGGGCCAAGAGAGAAGTGGAAAGGCCCCAGTAGGAGACTCTGTACTTCATAGAAGAAAGACAACTAAACATGAGTAAAGAGTGACTAAGAAGCCCAGGGATAAAACATCACTATATGCAGCCTTTGTGTAAATGGGCTGATAGGAGCATGAGAAGCACCAGAATAATTCAGCCAGGTTCTCAGACCCTTTTTTTTTTTTGAGACAGGGTCTCGCTATGTAGTTCAGGCTGGCCTCCAACTCGAAGTGATCCTTCTGCCTCAGTCTCTATAAAATTAAATAAAAATATAATCTGTTCAGTGGAGTGAAATGAATTTGAGGAATGAAGAAAGAGATAAATGGAAAAAATTAGAAACTCCATGCAAGAAACATATAAGCATTGGGTTGTGGGCTTACTGAATTCTAAGCTATAGCACCGAAGGCATAATTGAAAAAAGAAAAAAGATTAAACCAGACTTCAGGAAAACAGAGGATGAAAGGAAAAGTCACGAGCAGAAATTTTTTTTCTTTTGTGTGTGTGCGCGCCTGCGCACGTGTGCACACATGTGTGCACCCTTCTGGGGTTGAAACCAAGGCTATGTGCACGCCAAGGACACATTCTGCCACTGAGCTATACCCCTCAGCTCCCAGAATGAATATATTTAGAAATAATATATTCAATAAATGATTTGTATTTATATGGGTTTTTTTAAAACTCTCTGAACTCAATAATTGTTGCCAAACAAATGAAAAGAAATTTCACCAAAGAGGACATGAAGATTTCAAATAAATATATGAAGATATGTGAAAGGAGTAGTACTGGAGAACCCCATGGCATAAACATGTAATCTTCAAAAGATGAAATAGCTCTTGTTGTTTTTGCTGCTTCCTGTTGCCATGGTCTGCTGCCCCTCTGTCACCCTGCCTTGGAACCAGCTGATTATGGACTGAAACTTCTACTAACTAAAAGCCAAATAAACCTTTCCCCCTTTAACTTTGGGTGTCGGGTATTCTGTCTCAGCAACAAGAGAAAAAGTCACTAACACAGAAATTTGGTACCAGAGAAGTGGTACCAAAGTGGTGTGACACCACCTGACCATGTGGCTCAAGAGCCTTTGGACCTGGCTTATGGGAAGGGGAAGAGCAGAAGAAGTAGAGCTGGAATGCCTTAGGCTGTTCTGTAGGGGAGATTCTGGGCAGAGCTCAGAAGACCAGAAAGCTAGTAGAGACCAGGCTCAGGAGGTTTCTGCTGGGAAAAACTGCATTGGCTGCTAGACTCCAGACAATGTGTGTTGTGCCATGGCAAAAAGTTTGTCTGCATTTTACTCAAGTCGAGAGACTTTGCCTGAGACTGAGATTAAGGGTGATGGACTAATTAATCTCACAGAAGAAATTTCAAGGCAGTCTAATGTTGAGGCCGTGGCATGGCTACTGCTGGGGGTTTTTAGCCAGATCTATGTTGAGAATCAAGAGCAAAGGGCCCACCAGAATGATTCTAAATGTTTTGAGTTTGGCCAGAAAGGAAGCTCTTGTAAAGCTGTGGACTGCAAAGATGGAGCAGAGGAGATCTTGATTGCTGAGAAGGAACAAAAGAATAGAAAAGATGGCCTGAGGCCATCACAAGGAACAGCAGAACTCCACCCTTGGCAGCCTCCAAATTGCAAAAGAGAAAGTCTTTGTTTTGTGAAGAAAGCCTCAGAGAACTATGTTCGAGAATGGTGGCAGCCTAGAGAATTTGTTCCTCGAGATTGAGTTCAGAGTGCTCAGCGATCCAGGCACTTGATCCTATAGCCAAGAGAGAAGGAAGCTTGGCTACTGCTCCAGCTGGCAGCAAACATGGGTGTCAACCACAAGGTGCTGATTCTAGGCGCATGCAAAATCCAAGAGTTGTGGGGTCAGAAAGGCTTCTCCCAGATTTCAGAAGAAGGCCTGGAGAGGCCAGGCAGGGTGCTCCTGAGAAGGCAGTGTGTGAAACTGTAAGTGTGAAGCCGAAGCTGCAGTGGAGACCCCAGAAGTTTGGATAGGCCGGGAATGTGGATCATCTAAGAAAAACTGCAAGCCAGGAGCAGAGCTGTCCCAAGAGAGAAGCCATGGGAGCTACAACCACCAGCAGGGTCGCAGGGGTGGAGCCATCCAAGCCCTTTGGAGTTCACTACTTAACACAGATTGCCAGGATGCTGGAAGTGGAACTGTGGGATTTAACATTTGCCCTACTGGATTTTGGACTTGCTCTGGTCCCGTTCCTTTGTATCCCCGTTTGTAACTTCTGGAATGGAAATGCCTCTCTTGCGCCATTGAATGTTGGAAGTGTTTAACTTTCCTTTCATTTCTTTTCTTTTTCATTTTCTTTTCATTTTCATTAGCTTGTAGCTAAGAGTCTGCCTTAAATCTCAGAGGAGACTTTGGACTTGGACTTTTCAGCAATGCTGAAATTGTCAGGACTTTGGCAACTTTTAGAGATGGACTAAATGCCTTTTGCACAAAGAGATGTGCATGAGTGTGGAATGTTATAGCTTTTGTTTAGATGTCCCCTCAAAGCCTCACTCCAATGAGGTGGGGCCATTTGAGGGGTGGCTAAATCTAGAGTGTGTAATTGGTTCGTGGTGCAATGCTAGGCCCAAGAGCACTAGGATTAAGTGCATGAGTGCTACCTGCCCTCAGTAGTCTGAATAAGATAAAAGAGCCAGGAAGACACTGTTAAATTCTCTTGTTGCTTTTGCTGCAGCCATGAACTGTTGCCCTCCTGCCATCCTGCCTAGGAGCCAGCCAATTATGGACTGAAACCTCTACGAACCATAAGCCAAATAAACCCTTTCCCCTTTAAAAAAAAAAAAAATTTTTTAAAGCCGAAATAACTACAAATACTTCAAGTGAGAGAAAAGAAAAAACATTCCAAAAGAGATTTAGGATACTGGGAGATTTCCCAGGCAACAGTGTCTTCCAAGGGGACACTATCAAAAGGTTTCAGGATTTGGAATGGGTAGTAGAGAGGGTGGGAGAGATTAATAGAGAAGGAAGGTTTTAAAAATGATTGCCACATGGAGAGAAGATGAGGATGAAAAATGACCTGTGGAGATTGGGCTTCTTGTGGTGATTCAGACAAACGAAGATAAAGACCTTAAGAAAGTTAATAGCCATGGTTTTATAACCATGGTAGCAATGCTTTCTTTTTTGTTTGTTTTTTTTTGTTTTTGTTTTTTAGAAATGCTTTCTTGAGCACAGAGTGGTAGGAAACTGGTGATGTGAGAGACACCATGAGTAATGCAGCCACTTCCTCCCTCCTGCCAGATGGTGTGGAGGTCATGTGGCTCCCTTCTTGACACTTGGTGATCTTAACAGTTTTATGAATGAAAATTTCAAGAATAATATTAATAACAACAATGTAGCAGTTTACCTCATTGGTCTTCATGACATTTATACAAGATAGGCTAAAGAAAGACATTATTTAGATTTGAAAAGTATAATACCAGATAAAACATGTTAATGACTAATCTGAAATCATACTACAGGGGTTTCTCAAAACTATGAGGAAAAACACCAAGAGCAGATATTAACTCCATCTATGCAGTCATTCTGGTTACAGAAAACACCCATAGACACACACACACATTCACACACACATACACAGCACTCTTAAAAATGAAAAACTAGGCTCGGGATTTAGTTCATCGGTAGAGCAATTGCCTAGGAACCCCTAGGTTCCCTTCACAAAACCACAAAATTAAACAAGTAAATAATGCAAACCTGAGTTACCACTATCAAATTTATAATATTATCAGGGTCTGACATTTAACTTCTCCAAGGATACATTAAATTTTTAAAGCTATACTACAAATACAATCCAATTTCAAATTTATTTCAATGTGTACTAGTGGTTGCCCTAACCAATCTCAAGGCAAATAATCGAAAAACATGAATAAATCAAAATTTTCAATGTCTGCATCCAGTCATAATGATGTAATGAGGAGCAGATTTGCCTTCCTGACAGAAAAATCTATGAAACAAGTGAAAGGTCTGAAAAAGTAGTTTTCAGACTTACAACAAAAGACAACCCAAGACAGTGATTCTTGAGCCCAGGAAAGCAACTATCCATTCACTTAAGTACTGTCCGTGATTACTTTACCCAACAATGGCAGGCGTGAATAGTAGTTACAAATACTACATAACCAGGCCAAGGATTTAGCTCAATGGCACCTTGCAAGCATAAGGTCCTGAGTTCAATCCCCTGTATCAGAAAAAAAAAAAATAAACAAATACTATATAACCCAAAATCTTAAATATTTATTATCTGGCACTTTAATAAAACGTCTGATGATCCATGCTCTACAAGAACCACTATTCAACACATACCTAACAAATTTTGAAAAGGTGCTGAGAGAATCAAATTATTGCCCAGAATTTTAACTGTGATCCAGATCAAAGCCCCAAAACACTTTTTTTTTTTGGCGGGGGGTGGGGGGGAGCGGTATGGCGTTGAACCCAGGGCCTTTACACTGAGTTACATCCCCGGCCCTTTTATGTTTTTTATTTTGAGGAAAGGTTTCCCTAAGTCGCTAAATTGCCCAGGCTGGGTCCTAACTTGTGATTCTCCTGCCTCATCCTATCAGAGTGCTGGAATGATAGATATGGACCACCACGCCTGGCTTCAAAAATATTCAAAGGAAAACCAGTTAATAGCACAGAACAACATAACATACACAATAACTGGCATTAAAATAAAACATTCAAGGTATACAAAGCAGGGAAACGGGACTCAATAAAGATAAAAAATCAATCAAGGGAATCGAAATAGATAACAACATTAAAATTATTATGATAAACACAGTCCCTTCATTCACAAAGGTGCTCATAGGTTACAAACCCATGGAAAGACAGCGTTATTATTCTATATACACAAATGATAAATGAAAAAGGTACACAGATGAAAAATAGCCTGGTACGGTAGGGCATCCATGTAGTATCAGCTACTTGAGAGGCTGAGGCATGAGGATTGCAAATTCAAGACAAGTGTGGGGGAATTAGCAAGACCTTGTTTCAAAATTTAAAAAATAAAAAGGGTCAGAGATTTAGCTCAGTGGCACCACACCTGCCTTACAAGCTCAAGGTCCTGAGTTTGATCCCCACTGCCAAAAAAAAAAAAAAAAGATTAGGCCAGGGATTTAGCTCAGTGGTTTCACCACCTGTTGCATAAGCGCAAGGACCCAAGTTCGATCCCTGCAACCAAAAAAAAAAAAAAAAAGATTAGTAAAAGCACAAAGAGAAAAGACTATAAATTAGACCATCCAGTGAATTATACAACACCCAAAGAGTAAAATTACATGTAGAAGGGAAAAGTTTAAATCGCTCTGTAAAAAAAAACAATAAAAAGCATAATAAGACAAGCTACATACCAGAAAAGAATTAGCAGAAAACTGACAAAAGACTACAATCAAAATACACAAAGAACTTTGTTGTTGAGTGGTGCTGGAGACTACACTGTATTGCATGATAAGCATATGCCCTACCCTGAGCTATACCCCTAGCCCAACAAACAGCTCTAAAACTCAACAATAAGAAAACCACCAGATTCTAAAATGGGCAAAACCCTGACAGTCTCCTCCCTAAAGAGTAAGTATCAAATAAGCATATGAGAATGACTCTCAGAAATCTTGGACAGATGACCAACTCTTGGGTCCTTAATCTGTTACTCATTAAAAATGTGATTTGTATTTTGTTTTGAAGCAGTTGGGGGTCTTAAAAGCCATTTTTGGTTAAACAACAGTGACTCTTCATTTTATAAAATTTTGAGTCAAATACCTTCTTGGCTCTACATATAAGCATGTTAGTCATTTAGAGAGGGTCTATCTAAAAGGTACCAAAACAAAGTTGATTAGGCCTAAATTTATGGAACCTATCTCATCCCCATTCTTGACTAAGGCCACCAAGATAAGAGATTTAGAGAGACTTTCAGCTATGCCCAGAAATCTCCACTGCCCTAACCCTACTGGTCTCCTTGGATTCCAGCAGAGCCTGAGACTGAGACTGCCCCAAGCAGAAACAATAGCACCTGAAGAGATGGTGGCTGGCCACTCAGCCCCATCCCTGGGCTTAGCTCGGAGCCTGGCTCAGCTCCATCTCCACCTGAGCCAAATCAAACCTGAGGTAGGAGTCGAAACTCAAGAGTTCCTGAAGACGAGGAGAAGGCAGTGGAGAGTGATGAACAACATGGAAGCTGCTCATTTGCCATCCCCGATTTGCTGCTGCTGGCTCTGCCTCCACGGCTTGGCAGCTACCAGCATTATCTGTGGCTGCACTTGCCTGGGAGTTATGGCTCTTGTGTTTGCCATCAAGACAGAAGAGCGCGGTAAGACAGGCTGATTCAAGGAGGCAGTGGGCTGGAAGGCCCAGTCTTGGAAGCTCATCCTGGCTAGCTTTGCTGTCTGGCTTGCTGTCATCTTAGGCCCTGTGCTGCTGTGGCTGCTTTCTTACGCCATCACTCAGGCTGAGTGACCCTGGGTAGCCTCTGCTGAGAGTCAGCTGAGACATGCTGGATCCAACTGTACAACACTGCTCAGTTATGGTGACACCAGTGGTCCTTCTTCGCTGGAAGGATGGAACCTCTCTCAATGGCTTTTGCAAGAGCCCTTCTAGCCTTTTATATTAGGAGAGCAGCAGCTTGAGGCAGAGGAGGGGCGATCAGCCAGCTCTGTTTCAGTGCCCTCCACCTTCTGTCTACCCTGCTCCACTCTGTCCTAGGGGCCTCCAGAGGCAGGGGTTGAAGACCAGGCCTAATTTTATGAGAATGTGTTTTCTAATAAAAGCCTCTTTTGGTGTTTAAAAAAAAACAAAATAAAACAATAGCACATGAAGATCAAATGTCCCCTGAACCAGAAGGACTTCACCCAGAGCCACTTTCCAATAGCTGAAGTGACCTAATGATCAAGCTGCCTCTAGGCTGCCCCAACAAAAGTATATAACCTGGCCGGTGTCCTTTTTGAACAAGCCAGTCAGAATCAGAGTGTCCCCTCCAGCCACTCAAGCTGGAGTGGCTTTTTATTCCCCCTTACTTTCTAACTCTGCCTAATAAATCTGCCTAGGCCTCACACTGACTTGGTCTAAAATGTTTTTCTCATCACATGAGTCAGGAAGCTACTCAGTGAGTGAGCTCGGGTCCCCATCTCCTTTTAGGGGGACCTCCTCAGACCACAAATCACAAAAAATGTTCTCTATCGTATGTCATGACACTGCAAATTAAAATAATAAGATACCACTGCACAGCTATTAGAATGGTCATCTACCAGAACATGGACCACACCAAATGCCTGGAGGAGATGTGGAGCAACAGAACTGTGTTTAGAAATTAATAAGAGAAAGACATCAGGAAAATCTCCCTAAAAATTGATAACAAAATAGTGTCCTTCTACATAAACCATGCATCAAGACAATAATCACCAGAAAACCAAAAAAAATGTGTGGAACTGAATGAAAATAAAAACACAAACTATAAAAGAATATAAAAACCTCAAATAGAACCTCATCAAAATTAAAAACTTTTGCACTTCAAAGCCTGTTAAAGGAGGCCATAGGAAGATCCAAATATTTGTACATATTTTACAGATGTCTGGCAAAGAACTTGCCTCTAGAACTTATACTTCACTGGTCAGCTTTTAACTGTGGGAAGAAATATCTCACATATACAATTTAAAGGAGAAAGTGATTATTTTGGCTCACGGTTTCAGAGGTTTCAGTCCATGGTCAGCTGGCTCCAAGCCAGAAATAACATGGCAGAAGAGTGTGTAGGAGGAAAGGTACCTACATCATGGTAACCAGGGAGCAGAGAACAGGAGAAGAACTAGAGGAAGGGGCCAGCAGCCAGACATATTTCCCAGTCACATCTTCATGACACACCAAGATAACAGAAATGTACTTCACTCATCGCCTAGGCATACCTTAAGCCAATCAAGGTGACAGTCAAGATTAAGCATCACTGCTGGGGGTGTGGGGAGAAAAGAACCCTTCTCCATTGTTGGTGGGGGTGCAGACTGGTGCAACCACTATGGAAGTCAGTATGGAGACACCTCAAAGAACTAGGGCCAGAGGTCCCATTTGACCCAGCTATTCCCCTGCTGGGGATCT